ACTACGGCCATTCTCGGAAGTTATTGTAAATTTACTTTATTTTATACGCGAGCTTTTCATGCCTCAATAACTCGATAATTGGGAAAACGTATCGAGGTTCCTCGCGATCGAATATGAAATCGGAATTCAAAAAACGAATGGGAGAAAAAATGTTGCAAGCCCAATAATATCAGGTTGTAAAGCTGAGTGCGGATGGGGAGAGTTAATCGTGCGTTTATTTTAAATGTTTTGTGAAACACTAAATTAAATGTACCCATTTTTATTATATACTTATAAATTCTTTATTTGCATGGCGTGTAAACAAGTTTTAATCAGTTCACCCATTGTATAATGATTATGATTTTTCTAGTGTTTTAATAACTTTTCTGCAAGTTGGAACGGATAGAAAACCAACCAATCAGAGATTATTATAATTTGTCTTTTCTGTCCTGTGCCTTTAGCCAAACGCCACTTTAGCGCTTGTCTACAGAGAGAGTAGAAAACTAAATGTATGGGGATGACAAGTGACAAAATTTACGTCAATTCCATATAATTTGGTTTTGTATTCTACATGTAGACAAGCGCTAAATGGCATTTGGCTACAGCTGCCTGCTGCTGGTCACATGACGTGACTGTCACTGACTTAGGTACCAACTTCATAACAACCTTCAACATACCTATGACACAAGACACAGTCAAAACCTTCAACACAAACTACTAACGAATATTACTGCGACCGTCAACTGTCTTCGATACATAAGTTAACCACATACTCGATGACAGCCATGACAACACTGTCCGTAATATTGACAAATGATTGATTTGTTGACAAATGAGAACCCTACAGGGTGCGTGTAACTTTACCATATATTATTATTATAAAGTGCAAATATTAGATTTTATGTTTGTTTGTTTGTAGTGAGTAGACACTGAAACCAATAGACCGATTTGGAAAATTCTTTCATCATTGGTAGGATTAGTTTTTAAGGAGTAACATAAAATATTTCTTATCTCAATATTCTTACACGAGGAGGGATGATTCGAGAGAAATCTAAATTCCAAGCAGACAAATTCGCGGGTGGTTAGCTAGTATGAGTATTAATATAAATGGCGGTGTAAGTTAGGAACCCTTTTCAACGCCAACCGCGCGACCACAAAGTTGGATATGTTTCAAAATAAATTAGTGTTAGTTAAACAGATACCTACCTTATTTATTTTGTTGGTATTTTAGTTAAGCCCTTTATTGTCTGGACTACATATTATTTATCATTACGCCTACTACTTCTCGAAGGAAGACAATACATTACATGATTGACTCAATGGTAAGTTACGGCAGACCATATCGACAAAACGATGAAACACCAAACACATTTTTAACAGTTCCTACCATAGCGTGAGGTCGCTCCACATTGCAGACTTTTTGAGAAGAACGAGGAGTGAAGTTACCTACGTAAAGCGATTTAATTATTGACTTCATTTAACACAGGTTGGTACATTCAAATGTTGTGGTGAAATCAAAATTAGATATCAGACTAAAGCAACGTAAAAATCAATACAGCGCAAACTCCTTCGTTTTTCTTCAAACGAAATAAAAAAGGTTATGTACCTATAATTCAATGTTCCATGCAAAATATTTCAATACTCGTTTAGATTGGAAACGTGTTCCTTTGATGTTTCGCATTGGTTTGTAGTCACGTGGTCCCTGTAATCTAAGGGCGAACCATTTACTTCGACTAGGTATTTACATACATCTTTCTTTTTCTAGCCCTTTCTGATCTAGGCTGAAGTTCTAAGTCTTAGCTAGATTGAACTGTCAGGGTTTTATGTGAGCGTCATTTATTTATTTTCGCGTTTCGTGGCTGTCGTTTCATTGGCTACATGTTTGTCGTGTGTAGAGAAGATGGGTCTTTTACTCCTCCTGTGAGTTTCATTAGTAGCGACTAAAGATGACGACAAACTGTCTTCAGTGCTCTGTGATAAATTTCAACTATTTAAACAGCGAACTTTAACCTGTTTGCTAAGTGTGGAGATGATAACTAGCTTTCTTATACCGAAGAAGATCTCAGTTCACAAAGGACTGTTGTGGACTGTTGACGTTGTAACGAGCTCACTACAAATTCAAACTCTTTACCTACATGCTAAGGCATCCGTACGTAATCGTCGTTGCACAAAATCGTCTGAACAACGTCCCCACTCGCTGCTCAAATCTGATAGTCAGCTCTTTTGAGTTGGACGTCGCGACGGACTCCCAAGTGTTCGGCAAACATCGCATCTCATGCAATTTTACTCAAACTGTCGGAAGATTTCAACTCGCGCATTCACGAATTGATTTTGATCAAACTATTGGAAAGTAATTTTGAAATCGTATTACGTTACGTTATGAGATTTGTAGTAGTAGTAGATGATAACTAGGCATTCGCCTTCCTAAGATAATATAATGGCACACATTTTAAATAGCGGCATTCGAAACCACAATAAAAAAAAATACCAGCTGTGGATCTCAAATATTCCAATAATTTTCAGTTATGCCTTTAACTACAACTATTACTAACAAAAAATAAAAAAAACTGCGTTTAAAAAAATACTTAAAAACTAAAGACAAACGAAACGTAAAAACTAAAAAGAAAAAAATATACTATTATTGGTCATACGTACTTATAGCTTACACACCCACTGATAGGTTAGAAGTCGGTGCCATAAACAATCCTCCGTTTTTTGAAGTCGGTTAAAAATTGTTAAAGGCTAATCTCAAAAATTTGTCAAAGCAAATATAGTGATAGATAGTTCATCTACAGATGAAACTGGTCCCTAATCAATAGTTATCATACCAACATGTTATATATTGTACTAAATATTGTAACATACTATCTATATATCTATATACCTACTATGTGTTGATTGACCAGAGCCACATTATCCAATAACATACCTACTTAGGTCATCGTACTAAAGAGAGCTTAGCTCCATTGACTAACTAGATAAGGCAGTAATACCTACGCTTGGTTAGCGGATTGGTTGATGTCGTGCCTCCATCCATACTTAATCCCTAAGTAGCTTAGTACTTGGAACTTCCATTCCATTATATTCCCACATATAGGGAACGAAGGATATGTACGGGGAATTATGTGTTCCATTTTTCAAATATATATTTTTTTTAATAAAATGGTGTTACATTTATTGTCATGTTGCTAGGCTTAAAATAATGGAAAAGACATTTCTTAAGTAACAGTGTTGTCAGATTTTCCTATTTTATTTTAATGCTTTTCTATTTCATCATTGTGATTAGGTGCATTTTTAATTTTATTGGCATTAGGTTATTTTAATATTTAATTTGATAGCCGATATCTTATATTAAGCTACAAAATTAAAAGAGAAACGAAAATCTACGAACATTTTTCTTAAAGAAAACTCCCGTTCCCAGTAATTACTGAGAACTGAGTAGTACCGCCCCGTCACCCTTTCACTACTGGCTGGTTTTAATAAAGGACAAAAGGGAATACGAGTCATACGTCAGTTTTTTTTCTACGGCGCTGTCTAGACTGGCTGTAATAAAACACGTCTAGCTTAAGTCTAGCGCAGGTCTCTGGCAAGAGCGTGACATTATAATGCGTGTACCATATAACATTACGTCACGTATTTTGCTCCCTAAAGGGTAAACGGAATTTGTAAAAGTGTGTTTTAAATGTAATACGACTTTTTACTTTTTTACTTGTCACATCCAATTTTTGTGTCAAGTTTTCAGGCTATACTTACATTGTTAGAAATAATTTTGGAAATCTGGTTTGCTTACCTAAATATATCGTAATTTTTATATTTGGAAACAGTGAACGAAGTAGTTGGTTATATGAACATTTTATAAATTGTCAAGTTAATAATAAAGTATGACATTCACACCTACACATTAAAATGATCGCCCACGCGATTAAAAACGCGTTGACATTCTTAAATCGTGCGTAAAACGGTCATGTGCACGCAGCTTTATAATTAAAACAATATACCACAGCGTGTGTGTTCTAGAATGTTTAAATTTCAAATATAGAATAGGTCAGGACCGATCATTGTTAACCGGACATTTTTTTAACTCGTCGAGTACCGTCATTATAGACACAATTATAGAACAATAGGTTGCGGTCACCGGTGACCGCTTGGTGTTTGACAGTTTAAACTGAGTTAAAGTGCATTTTGAGATAGATTAACACAGTGCAATTTAGTTATGACATTAATTAAAATAGCATCCATATTTTATCGCCTAAACATATTTACTTACCCTGACCATATACCATTCAAAGTACTTACAATACGTGCATTTCTACTCATGAACAACAATGCACAATTTATCATAATTATTCGCTGAAAAATATTGAAATAAAATATCAATTACTCATACACCACAAACTTCATAATAACTCAACGGCACAGTGGCCACAGGCAGTTTTATTTTGCTATAAAAACTATATTATAATGTGTTTCGTGGAAATACTCCGTTGAATAAAATTCACTTTAACACGTGCGGGTATATGAAAAATGTTTCACAATTTAAACGACTCCAATTACGGAACATAATGAAGGTAGTTGAAAAAAATGTTCATTGCAAGTGGATACTTTATTAGTAACTTTAAAACAAAGTGCTCTGCCATTAAACAAATTCTTAACATCCTGTAAAGTGTCCGAGAAAGGGTGCGTGCAAATTGTGAACGATAATTTATAGTTCCGACGCTCTTGAGTAATTAATTGTGCAGGATTCTAAGAAAAATAATACGCCCCTAAAAAGTGTCGAGGCGTGCACGAGCTAAAACTTTCCAAAATCAATAAACTGTATAAACATTCTAAGCAGACATTAATGTTTCTTTCGGCGTAACACACACACGCGCGCGAGGTTACGTTCATTCGTAACTCGCGTCGAACGTACACGCACACATCCGCCGAGCACGTACAAAACGCGCGCTATCTAAATCTAACCAACTCTTGCCCGTTCCTGAACTCAACTACTTATTACTATTAATTTATATTCTAGTACTCACAGTTGGCTGGTAGCTGGTGTTATCCAGAAAAATCCGGTTCACTCGTAGTCTTCACGTACACCGTGTAACGAGAGAACACAGCGACAACGCGCGACACGCGACGTACGTAAATTATGTAACTGTCACAATATCACTAAAACACAGATCGCAAATAAAATGTATATGGTTCTTTGATTCAGAGGGTGCTCGGAAACGATAACCGCAAGGTGAGAAGGATACGCGCGACTCGGCGGCGTCAATACGCGGACTGAGCGGCCATGACAGTTTCGGCTGGGGTGCGGTGCGCCTGCGCGCTGCGACCACCACCTTAAGGTCATTCCCCATTGTTCACCTCTCGTGATGAGGGTACGAATTGATGCCAGCTTCAATTCTAACTGAAGAAACCTTTTTAAGTTTCAAAATCCTGTTTCAAAATGGCTGATTTAAAATGGCGGGCCTCGTAACGAGCTCTAATCTGTTCTTTCATGATGTCAAATCGTTTCAAATGTCATCGTTGCTTGTAAAGGGCCTGTAAGTCAGTAATGAATCTTATTACACGGTGTGGGTCGTTGACTGGGACTATTTCACTTTGTTTTAGGGTGAACGTTTCTAGCGAACAATAGACCATTAAATATTTATGGCTACCCTAGTGTTGCATGAGAATTTTTCACTCTGAAGTTTGTTGTATGAGTGGCATTAATGCTTGATGCCCTCGTATATCTTGGAGATAGAAGCAATGTTGTGTTTGAATTAAAACGTAAGTGAACTTGAGTGATATATCACCAACATACGGCTGAATGTATTATTCAATTATTCATGCATGATACATCAGTAATTTTATGTACCTATGTACCTAAACCTACTTATTATTCTATTTCAATTCAATATAATAAAACTATAAATTCCCGCACAAACCTCACACCTTCATAAATTGTGGGGCCGATGTTTCAAGAAAAATAGGACAAAAAAAATATCGGGAAAGAGATGTTGGAGCGATCCTCATAAGAGCTATAAGTCATGGCGTGACAAATAACGAGGCGAGGCGAGGACGACCGACGGGTGGAGACAATCAATCAAACTCCTGTTCCTGTGTTCCTATAACCTGACGCGTGCGATACAGGAGCCTGTAGGAACGAGTACAAGGGGTGTAATGTGATAAATGCTATAAAGTTTTACGTAGAAAACCTGTGTAAAGCGTCATGCTCTGCCATTTTAGAAATGTGAAAATTACTACATTTTCGCTACTTCTTTTATGTACTGAATTAAGATTCGATAACAGATGTACGAGTATATGCTTAATTTTGCAATGACAACACGTGTTACACACATCGGGATACACAGACCTCACCTACCTATGAACAATCTCACCGACTCATCGAACTTATAGTGAAAACGCCTTATGATGATAACCAGACGTATTAAACTACGCTCGGATCTTATATTCTAATCCAAACTCTACTCCACTACAAAAGCTAAGATAACCCAGAAAACACAGCTGGGTACAATGCTGTGCTCATCAGTACTTTAGACGACTAGACTAGGCTAAAAGGTCGTGAACTTTTCACCCTGTACCCTAAGTGGTTTTGTGAATAAACCCTAAGTCCAGACTACGTCCACCCACAGAACTAACGTAGGAGGCATGGGAACTTACGATTGGTACACATAGCTACACATCAACCTATGCAAAACCAGTATAAACTGACCTTTAAATGTGCGAAAAGATAATACAAAGCGAGACCATGATGACCTGGTTTGATACAGTTCGAGGTGTGCATTCAATAGCCAAAATTAAGGTTATTGTATCTTCAGGCCGCAGCGACGTAATTATACGGACAGTGGGTTGCCAATAATCCCACAGAGGATTCCCAGTACGAACTCAAAATGAAATCATATCCTCAGGCCATCAAACGGTTTTCTGTAAACAGATTTTGAATTTACTTAACGTTATTTTTAATTTACATCGGAAAATGGAAACGAAAATTGTATCTATCGATACAAAAATATTTTTTCCAGAAGCCTCTGCAAAAAATGTTTTGGTAACTACCTACCTACTTACTTTCTTTTTGGTAATATTGTTCGCTTTATCAATATCTATATTTTTTGTCTTGTATTCGTTGATGAACAACCGAAGCGCTGTTATTATAGTATCAGATATCATAAACATGAAAGATCGTTAGGTAATAATCCTTCTCACAAAAAGCCACAAACTTAATTTTAATGAAATCGTATTTAATGTCTTTACTCAGATTGCTCACCAGGCATTGCTATCCATAATTTCGTTTCACTAACACGGATAAAACCACACCACCAGAGTCAGTATTACCATATTACTCTGACCTGCTAACTCCAGCGTCGCCCAAATGGCAGCGTGCATAAGTTTTCATATAATTTGTAAATATAATGTCATAAATCTGCCCAATCCCTCGGGAAAGTTGCTCGCCGTAGATTTTTGTTGTCCTACGAGTATTTCTGTAAGTTTTCAAGCCAGTGGTCGGTACTCTAAACCAGAAATAATAATATAATTAATGTCCCAACTTTGAGGTCCCTGTTATCACTGAGGCGCAACTTGTTTGTGTCTAATACCTTACTCAAGTGTTAAAGCCCCGTCTAGACGGTGAAGGATAAAATTCTCGGCTGCGGGATCTTTTGTGCTGGAACAATAGGCGGCGATGAGGCAGGTGTGCTCCCCTACTACTTTAACTGTGTGTAATTACAACTATCTAGGTAGACCGAGGCGTCGGCTTGAAGTATGGGTGCTAAGTAACACTGGTGTACGGTTACGGTTCTTAGTAGATAATTGTGTACTTAGTGGTGTTTGAGAAGAAGTATGATAATTGTTCAATTTGAAACCATTATGTTAGATGCTATTTAGCGTTATTCTGCGAACGTACTGCTTATATTTGCACTGTGCAACAGATACGGTCTTCAGACCTACTATTATCACCTACTCAATAAGTCCTCAAGTTCATCACACTGGTCTGGCCGATATTCTTCAATGTTTAAACGACTTTAATAAGTGAAACACGTCAGTAAAATTGTTGAAATGGTTGATTGCTGGTTTAAATAAATGATACTTTTACAACGTAATTTTATTTAAGAAACTTAACAAGGCACATTTCGACGTCATCAAATGCAAAGACAATGTGACACACTATTAACTTCCCAGGCACAGACTAGATGGTGTACTTGTAACATTTGAGGATGGTTAAGATTATAAATTTACATTATTACAACAAGTGCAATATTTATAACTGTAAAATTCAAATTCCTCAAAACCAATATTAAACCTTATGCTCTAAGTTGTACGACGACGATGACACCGCGGTGCACCGTCCCAGAGGTGACCGAGGCAGAACTGAGAGCGGCGGTGCACCGGATGGGCGCCAAGGACACCGCCCCAGGACCCGACGGATTGTTTGGCAAGGCATGGATCCTGGCTTCGGAGGATCTCGTGCCTCGATTGATCGGTCCCTACAGCGCATGTCCGGAGAGTGGCCAGTTCTCACTATTCTGGAAAGCGGGCAAACTATCCTCGCGCGGAAGACAGGGCGCCCTATGGACTCTTCATCCGCGTACCGGCCCATAGTGCTGCTCGACGAGGTGGGGAAATGCTTCGAAAGAATCATTTCGAACCGCCTCGTCGCGTACCTGACGGACTGGTGGGCTTTTCATATTTTTAAATGTTTTTTTTTATACATATAATGAAATATTTAAAAATATATAAATCAAGTATGAAAATATATAAAAGGAATAAAAATGCTATCTTAAACATCACCAAAAAAATTTTCCTCATCGCTATCGTGAGGTAGGGTGCCCAAAAGACTGGCAGCATTGTCACGTTGAATGGCAATGCTTAACCTTTGCCCAAGGAAGTAGCCAGCCCTTCGATCACCTGAAGTGTCAACCATCCTTCTTACAATATCTTTGTAAAGAAGATGTGCACTTGGGCCCTACGGACTTAAAGTTTCAACCCCAGACGGTTCGAAAGCATAATTGCCAATCAGGCTATTATACTTTTGTTATACTATTGACATGTTCACCACAACGACAACGATGAGGTGAACAAAATGAAGCTCTAAGCTTTAAACAAATTGCAGCGCGGAATGTGGTGTCGTCTAACAAAGTACCTAGGTTGGACGAAGGCAAAGCAAGAAGCCATAAGCCCGGCTCCCACTCACCCACAGCCAAAAGGCGAGTTCAACAGATTTTCGCTCACTTTTCTGCAGAGCGGCTCGTCCCACTGCCTCTGGTAGAGTGATTTGACGGGGGGGTGAATATTTGGGCAAGCAATTTTCCAAGTTTTCACAGCTTCCACCAAATATGGTACATCAAAATTAACCAGTGATTGAGAAAGAATTTTCCTGGTTAATTCTTCAATACCATTGGCGGAAGATATGAAAGCCGCTAAGTTTACACTGGAAATTTTACGGACGCCAAGCCCACCCATACGGACAGGCAGAGTAGCTTGTGTCCAGGCTCGGTCGTCGAGAGCCACATTCAAAATTAAGGATAAAGTTTGTCTAATGCTTCGGTCAATTTTTTCTAAAAGAAGGGGTGCAGACCAGAGGTGGGTCGAGCGCAGATAGTACATAAATTTGGGACCAAAGAATTGAATAATAGTGTAGGCCGAATGCATATTAATGTGATATAGTCTTTCTGAAACGACAGAAAAATCCTGAATTTTTTCATCAATAAAACTTGAAAAAGAGTCCTCGAAGACGGGCGCACCTAGAAGGCGAAGCGAACATTTATTGACAACCAAGATATTAGGCGAAAAAGTATTAAATTTTGATATGATCTGTCTGTTGGTAGAGTCATCTTAAAATATCTCACACTTGGAATAATTTAGGTCAAGGACAATAGCATGAAGTTCGTTATAAAATCATTTGAAACCGTATCTGCATCGCCTCTTAAGGTACCGTCATCGAGGTACCAAACATTAAATTTGGAATTTAGCTGTCGAATAATAGGATTAATGGCCAGGCTAAAAATCACTGGACCAAGGGGATCGCCTTGTTGACAGCCAACGGCTGATTCCAAAAGGTTGTCCTGATATAATAATTTGGTAGGGTGTCTATAACATTGCCAGAGATAACTGAAAATTTGGGGTATTTCATTTTTAACTCCTGTCAAAAAAGTATCCCTATATTGACCGAATTAAAAGCATTCTTAATGTCAACCTTCAGGATGATATCACCTTTCCTGGAATTCAGGTAGGTCGACAACGCATGCACAGCAGCCTCGCAG